ATGCATGTTGTATACGTCCTTGTGAAGTTTTGCACATGTGCCCTTGCTGGTCACGTTGGTGATTCCTCTGGCCTTGTTGTCTATGTTAGCGAACCACACCTATGGTCTTATATATCCTAAGGGGTAAAAATGGCTTGAAAATAGATGGAAACCAGCTCTATCATTTCTGTTTCACTTTTTTTTTCAGAATCAGAAACCCTGGATATGAAAACGGAATCGAACATTATAGAATACGGATACGAAGTGAATATGAATCAGGGCGAATACTAATTTGAATATTTATCAGAATATGAAAACAACTGTAACTAAGTTTCTCAAATCAACTGAGAGATGTAGCTCATTATATTTTTGTAAAACAATATAATAACATTTTAAATTTTTATCAATTAATAATAATACAACTAGTTGTATACTCCACTTTCTAGGAGAATTAAAATAAGCAAGAACTACATAAAATAGTATGACATAGCCTAATGAAATAAGAAATAGTCATTAAACAAAAGAAAAACAAGTCAAAAGCACCGGACTAGAAAAAAATATCTCCATTCAACAATTACATCAATAATACTCAGTACAAATCTAAACATCTTGAGTAGAGAAGGATGAAGGTAATCAGCTGTACATGAAAAGTAATTCGTTTCCGATTAAAAAAATCTGAATTTGTTTCCAAATTTATTTCCAAAAAAAATCTAACTGATTCCGGTTTTCCGACAGATGGTAGCCTTACCGTATTCAGTTCCATTTCCGAGAAAGTAATTCCAAATTTGTTTTTGTTTCTGACATTTTTCGAAAGAAAATCCAACCAACACTTTCATTTCCAGAAACACATCCGGAAATCAGAAACTTTCCAAACCATTTTTGTTCCTACTTATCCTCCTGACACCACCAGTACGGTGATAGCCTAGTGGATCTTTTCTAACAAGTTTCATGCTGATTGCTTGTTGCAGTATAAGGCTTTATAATTGACTTTAATAATATTTTCAGTTCGGTGGTCAAGCATGCCACTTTTCGCACAATACTTACCATGATGTGAAAAACATGTTCCTTCATGACACTCTAACAATGACATATTATACTTTTTTTCATCCTTTTGGGTTTGTTGATTCATCTCAACTTGATCTTGTATGTCACCTCAATGAGTCGTTGTATGGGTTGGAGCTCGCCCCTCGCTCTTGGTATAGTCATTTTCCGCTTTGCTCACTCTGATACCATGAAAGTGGAATACCTCATGCAGTAGATTGGTTGCATACTATAACATGAATATGTATATAAACCCAGTCTTGCCATATCCAATTGTACTATGACTTATGAAAACAAATACCAAGGATTATAAAGGCATGCACGGATATATTATGCTAAACATATGGGGCTAATAGCCACATAATCCAATAATGGGAGTTAGGTATTCAATTAATGGTACTATCAATTGTGATAAGGGAGGCCGATACATCACATGCAAATGTGGCGTCCATGTCATCAGAAGAGTATAGAGACAAATCAAGTGGGACCAGCTCGATCACTTGCTAGTGAAAGGGGGAGGGGACGCGTTGGAAACGTGAGGATACAGCTCACCGTGTAATGTAAGCCACATTTTATTCTTAATTTCATTGAAATTTATAGAGATAGGCGCTGGATATAAATACTTTGGATGTGGATACAAATCCAACTTATTCAGGCAACAGATTCGCTCTGAAAAGACAAAGAAACTAGAGGGCCAAATGTTTCCAACTCCTCCAAAAATTTGTGAGATCTTGGTGCTTGGTGGGAATTTTTGAGATGTGCAATATGCTGGACCAAATGGACAGGGAACTAATGGCGATAACCAATCCTATCTATATATATCATTCTAAAGATATGGAGCCACACAATAAGTTCCTATTGATTCTGTTGGCAGGAGAGAACGAACGGCCCAAATATGGCGCAAGCACAGACCATTAATCTTCTTCCCTTCAATTTGCATACCAAAAAATTAGTTACCACAATTTGTGGATCTCCTACAATTGCAACCATGCATTTGATGCATATGCATGCACCCAGGAGCTCCACACGACACTCCATCATTTTTGACGACCTTACATTGGGGAGCCAGCCAGTTTGTCAAACCATTGGGAACTGCATGATTTGGAAATTGGATAGGCCAACTTTTATACACAAGAGAAGTTCCGGACAAATTAAACAACTAATTAGGACACATGATCAATGTCTAGTCAGTGATCCAAAATAAGCTCACCTACCATTCTCAATTTCTAATTCCACAGTCCATGCATGCTTAATTTGCAGACCAGCTAATTAACTCTCATGCCATTCCAATCAACCAGGCTTTTGTTAGCTGATCACTCTCCTTAATTTCGTTATACACTTGGAGAGGCACATCACAGTATTATGTACCATACAGTACTTGTCCCAACCAACCAAAAGAGACAGCTAGCTTCACACGCTGCACCTACTACATTACCAATAGTGAACAAATGCATGGCTGCCCATGACTTGTAGTACATGGGCTAAAATTTCTGGCTCAAATGCAACCTATGGGGCGCATTGTGTGTGCACAATAATAAGTTTGTGATGGTAACGGAGAATTGCCGTGGTCCCAATCTGAAATTAACTTGATAGAGCTAGCTAGCAACAATGATTGGAATCCCCATGAAACCTCGCCTTTCGATCGCTATATGATCCCATCATCGTCGCAAAATAGGGATTACTACTATATAAAATGAGTGAGATGTGAGAAATTACCATAACAATAATTCAGCGTCGCTTATAATCCTCGTGTCTATATTAATTAAGTTAAGAAAGAAGAAGCCCATACTTGGTGTGTTTGGTAGGAAGAAATTGTTCTCCCTCAGTTGTTGAACTATTTTCCATATTCTATTAATATATATTTATAGAAGAGAAGTGGATTTTATATTAAGCCCTATAATATATGTTCCCTTGTTTCTCATGTGCAATTAAATAATGTTTTAAAAAAATCAATATAGATTACTGTATCACCAATTATTCAACAAACTTTTGCATGGACAAAATTAATATAGAAATGAAGAAACAAAAATAACAAATTTCATTGCAAAATAATTTGTTTTGTTTTGTTTTCCCCTATGGAAACCAAATTTAACCTTGCATTTTGCATATTAACAGATGACATCCTAATCTACCTTGTTCCATTTTCCAATTATTATTTTCAGTAACTATTTAAATCACATGAAGAAAACGTCCATGTACGATCTTGAGGGAGTATTTTATTTCTAGACACTGGGAGCAGTTTAATTTATTTTATACATGTAGTAGTACGTAGTGCCTAAGGCTGTGTTTAGTTCAGCCCAAAGTTTGGATTTTGGTTGAAATTGGAGATGATGTGACTGAAAAATTGTGTGTGTATGACAGGTTGATGTGATGGAAAAGGACTGAAGTTTGGATCCAAACTTTGGATCTAAACACAGCCTAAATAATTGTTGCAAATCTGGATGAGATTCTTCCTCAGTGATCATCCCCTCGAGCTCGAGCTCGTTGCTTAGGCTGTATTTGGGAGTGCTGGCACGCAAAACGGAGCAACGTTTAATGCGTGATTAATTAAGTATTAGCTATTTTTTTTTCAAAAATTGATCAATATGATTTTTTTAAGCAACTTTCGTATAGAAACTTTTTGAAAAAAACATTAGTTGGAAAAGCGTGCACGCAGAAAACGAGGGAGAGGGGTTGGGAACTTCCTATACCGAACGCAGCCTTAGGGATTACCAGTACTCCATTTTAAGTGAGGTTGTAGGTTTCTGTTTCAAACGTTTGAACGTCCGTCTTGTTTAAAAAAAATTAAAAAACTTAAAAAAAGTAAGCATTAAATACTATTCATGTTTTAATTATTATCGAATAACAATAAAAATACTAATGATAAAAAAATATTAAATAAGACGAAAGGTTAAACGATGGACACCGGAGCACACAACTGAAATAGGATGGTGGGAGTATATAGGAGTACTGTATCAATACACTAATAAACTACGATCCCGAAGAAGCATCTTCCCAAGTCATCCTCGTTGCATGGGGATTAACATAGAAAATCTGAATTTTCCAAAACAGTTCGGCCACACACCTAAACCAAAACAAGAAGGTCAGATCGTGCTAGCTAGCTAGATCCTGCTGGAGTAGTGCTATACTTCGATCCTTTGAAGTTAGGGGATCGTTTTTCGGCACACAAGGGCGGAGCTACATATGCAAGGGAGAGGGTGTCTAGGAATTTGGTTTTAAAAATTTAGCAATAGTTTATCTTTTTTTATTATATGTGTATTCCTCTCACTACGAGTTTATATATATTCACATTTGCCTAAACTTAATCAAAGATGAGTAAAGTAAATGAGGGGTCCTCTAGCTACTCATGAAGCTAAGTACTACTCCCTCCATTTCTAAATATTTAACTCCATTGACTATTTAGCATATCTTTGACCATTCGTCTTATTTAAAAACTTTTATGAAATATGTAAAACTATATGTATACATAAAAGTATATTTAACAATGAATCAAATGATAGGAAAAAATTAATAATTACTTAACTTTTTTTAAATAAGACGAACGGTCAAACATGTTATAGCGTCGAATATTTAGAAACGGAGGGAGTATTCAGGAACATGAACTGAACATGCCTACTCTCATGAATCGTAATATACGTACATTAGCTTATAATTTCTGTGAGGGTGATCTATCGATCGATCCCCGATCGGATCGGCCTGCAGGTTAACTATAACCACTTTCGCATTCTCTATCGTTTTGACCACAATGTATATTACTGTTTATTAGTTAATTACTACCAGTAATAAGTAATTAATTAATCAATCAATTAATCAATTATTATCCGTGAAACACGCTTGCATGCATGTGCGCTGGCCACACTCAGCTGCTACCTTGGCGCGAGACGCACGGAGCCACACGTGAGACCACCCCCACCCCACCAGCGTGGCGTGGGCCCCACTCCCGGCCCACCAGGCCCAGCCCGCGCGCGCGGCTCTATATAAATCCTCCTCCTCCCCTCCTCACCATCACCACCGCCCACAACCTCAGCTCAGCTAGCAAAAGTACAATATCCCTTGTACGGACGCCTAGCTAAGCTAAGCTAATTAAGCTCTAATTTCTCTTTTCTTTTTTCTTCGATCTCCGGCGAAAAAGTAAGTACAATGGCCGAGGTGAACGGAGCCAATAACGGCAACGGCCACCACGGCCACGGCAACGGCAGCGGCGCTGCGGCGGCGGCGGGGCGGTCGACGAGTGTGTCGAGGAAGATCGAGTCGGAGGGGGCGGTGCTGATGCCCGGGGTGTACGACGCGCTGTCGGCGGCGATCGTCCAGAAGACCGGGTTCTACGCCGGCTTCATCTCCGGCTACGCCGTCTCCGGCTCCTTCCTCGGCACCCCCGACGTCGGCCTCCTCACGTAATTAATTAACACACAATTAATTAATCTCATATATATATACACACACACTCTGTTTGTGTGTGAATTATTTGCTGACACTAGCCGTTTCTCCGGCGAGGTTCATGCAGGCCGCCGGAGATGGCGGAGGTGGCGAGGCGGATCTGCGCGTCGGCGCCCAACACACTCTTCATCGCCGACGCCGGTCATCTCTCTCTCCTCTCTCTCTCTCTCTAAAAATGGCACTTTAATATATATAAGACCAAGAAAGAAAAGCAAATTAACAAAGAAAGCATCGTATAATATATGCAGTAAAGTTGACAGTGCATGCTAGATTTGGAATGCTAATGATTCAGCTGGGACATGTTTGTATAGTAATTTAAGTACAAACTTGTGTGTATATGTATGTATGCATGCATGGTACCCCTCGAGATATAATTATATGTTGCACATGAACTTTGCTGGAAAGCACAATTATATATTAGCTGAAAGGGGGAAATTAAAAAATAACACTGTCCTATAACGCTGTTCTGGGGTCCATCACCATGCACACCAGAAGCTTGGACCAGGGATCTGCAAGTGAAAACAGTGGGTGTTAAAATATATTTCTTGTTCTCCAAAAAAAAGTATATATGTTGGTGCATGAAACTGTTTAAGAAGAGTAGTTTATAAGGACAAAATTATATTTTTGTTCTCCTGGAGACATTTGCTAGGTGATCTGTTTCCTTCAGTGCTAAAAGAATGTTGACACAAGTACTGCTACAGCTTTTTTTAATTATGCATGCCATGACGATGATTACTGTTGAGATGACGTACTTTAGCCCTTTTTAACTTTAAATAAATTGTATTTTAATTAGCATCACTTACTGTACATGATTAATATGATTTTCTGTTGTCTGATGCAAAATGTATTCTTTTTTTCCCTCCAGACACTGGTGGTGGCAATGCTCTGAATGTGAAGCGTACTGTTCAGGACCTGATGGCAGCAGGTGCTGCAGGCTGCTTCCTCGAGGTGATGGATTCTTCTTCACCTTGTCTTGCTCGCACTGTGCACCACATGTTCCCTTTGCAACTATTAATCAATAGTAGTGGTTTTGATTTTGACAACCAAAAAAATATATATCATATTGTCACTAGTAATCAGTAATATTGATTCTGTCTTCTCTTTTGCAAATTCCAGGACCAGGCATGGCCAAAGAAGTGTGGTAAGGAACTATTCATCTGTCACATCAGGAAAATTGTTTTTTCCTCAGGATTTTCTTCTCTCTTTTTTTTCGATTGCTAATTTACTTTTGTGTCTGTTTGTTCATCGATCGTCAAGGACACATGCATGGCAAGCAGGTAAATACTGACAACACACTGTTTTTGTCCCTACATGTTCTAGACAAACATGTACTACTACTGTATAGTGATACTAATTCTGTTTAGCACTCTGTTCACCATTGCAAATCCATGCCAATTTATAGCTTAAGTACGTACACTTAATGCACACCTGCCAAAATCTAATGAGGAAATAAATTGGTAACCGATCCTGTCGTTCCGTGACATCGAAATAATAACAGGACTAATGTGATGAATCACAACTTAATTATCACAAGTTATAATGCAAAAATAGCTAGCTAGGATGGTTCAAAATGACCAGAAAATTCGCCCTAGCTATATATATTTACCCTCTATTATTTCACATAGCGGAGATTTGATATATATATTTATATCTACTTTGAATATATGGTGTCACTTTCACTAAACATATTGATATTGGAAATGAAGATTCTGCTGAATTAATTCAGTGACACGTAGGCCCCAACATTTTATACCATGCATGCACTGTTAAATATGGAGGACCCATTACAACTTTGCTTTTGTATGTATAAATATGTCTCTGATGTATTAATGGCAAGTTCTAGCTAGATCCGATCGATCCAACATTTTGTGCATTAAACAAAAACAAACTACCAACAACAATCAATTAATGATTTTATCACAGCCATTATATGTTGTCTAGCTAGCTATGTAGTAGAGTGGTAATAAGATCGAGTGCACCATGTTCTGCATCTTGTCACCATCATCGAGGATTACAAAATTGTGGCCGGCATTAATTACCTTGATCTCTAACTCTCCTTGTGTTGGTTAAAATTAAATTAGGTGATACCAGCAGAGGAGCACGCTGTGAAGATAGCTGCAGCGAGAGAGGTCGTTGGTGATCGGGACTTCTTTATCGTGGCCCGGACTGACGCTCGATCTGTCACTGGTCTTGATGATGCCATTAGGCGTGCCAATCTCTACATAGATGTAAGCAGATGACCACTTCTTTTTTCTAGAGAGAGATAAATCATGTTCTAGAGAATCTCTTCAGAGTCAAACTCTCGTTTAAATTTGATCGATCTCAACCACCAACTATTAATCTTAAACAAGTTCAAGTCTGTCAAGAATCAATGTTTTGAAATTAATTAGTTCTTTCATTAGATATTGGTCAAAGTTGCATTTTGAAAACTGATATATGTGAGGCGAAAACACTTTCTTTTTACATGATGAAATGAAAATGGTTTGTATCTTTGTCTTCTATTATATATTAGGCTCACAAACAATGTCTGTGGTATATTTTTCTCCTATATAATGGAATTTAACCCATTGGTGTTTTTACATTGGTCTTTACTGGTTGTAGAATCCAATCTAAACCGTTCATTTTCTTCTAATCAAATAAAATCCTATCAATTATATTACTATACGTACCTCAACTACGGATAATACAATTATTTCTTTTCCTATTTACTAGTAGGATATATTCATACCAGTAGAGATCACCGTAAATTAAGCTATTATTATTCAACATCATATCATATCTAATATGAATATATGTAAAAAAAAAATTGTAGGCGGGAGCAGACGCGTGCTTCGTGGAGGCGCCGCGGAGCGACGAGGAGCTGATGGAGATCTGCAGGAGGACCAAGGGTTATCGCGTGTGCAACATGCTGGAGGGCGGGAAGACGCCGCTGCACACGAGGCAGGAGCTCATGGAGATGGGGTTCCACCTCATCAAGTCCCCCCTCACCACCGTCTACGCTGCCGCCCGCGCCCTCGTCGACGTCCTCGCCGCCCTCAAGCGCGCCGAGACCACCCGCGACGAGCTCCACCGCCTCACCACCTTCACCGAGTTCAACAACCTCGTCGGCCTCGACTCCTGGCTCGACATCGAGGTTCGCTTCTCCGTCAACTCCTCCTCCTCCGTTCCCAAGCCGCTCCCGGCACCACCGGCGCTGGAGACCACGACGGAGATGGAGAAGGCCAAGGCCAAGGCGGCCGCCGTCGTCGCCGGAAACGGAGCTACCAATGGGGTACACTAAGATCGATCAAGATCAAGCTACCAATGGAATAAATTATCAATCGAAATGTGGCTGTCATCAGGGAGCCATGAAATATGGTGGATTACATTGATTAATTCTCCTGCATTATTGGTGAATTTTGTGAGGTATGTGTTATTATTGCATGGTACGTAGCTATATATTGCTGTGTGAGTGAGTGAGTGATTATGTTGGGATTGGGTGCGTGATTCCGCACATAAACTGTAAGGTAAATATGTGTTGAGTATTCTTCGTTTTCCAATTTTTTCGATTCAGTACAGTATATGCAGCTATGCATCTGTCTGAATTTTGAGTCAGTATGCTCGTGTGTGCACGGTCCAGATTGATCGTCGATCCATGAAGCATCTGTACTGTCAGTCAGTGTCATGTTCAGTGTACCTTCAAATTTATTTGGAATAAATCGGCCCATGGACCGTCTACCATTGGGCTGTTCGACATCTTCTTGTGGACTGAATTATTCTGTTGTATTCAGTTATTTGGAAATAAAGAAACTTGTGAAATTTTGGCCAAGTTTGATGGCCACTACTTTGTTTGTGGACCAGAATTGCCTATTAATTTTCTGCTGCTATGAGTGCTTCTGAAGATGGAATTTATGATTTCTATAGATTCTGTGGTTTATCAACAAGCATTGCAGCTAGCAACCTGAGCAAGGGTAATTAAAAATTAAATTAATGGTGATGGTTCCCTCCATTAGTCTAGCAATGAATCTGATAAGGAATATATGTGATGAATACTTCACATGTTGAAGTTTGCTTGGCCCTATCTTCTTTCTGCTATTGCAATCTTCAGACAAGTCCAAGTCAGGATGCGAGCTATAGTTTAGCTTTTGATATCTGTAGTTCCTCTGCACATTCTCATCGATATTTGTAGCTTTTGATATTCATCTATCAATCTTGTAAATTTGTAATAGGGGGTGATCTCCGTTGGTTCTCGGTTGCAGAGTTTCCTTATTTAAAAACAGTTAGCTATTACTTCGACACTAGAATTTCATTGAGTTGCCTTGGAGTAAAAATTCTGGGAATATTACCATGAGTAGAGCAAGTCTTGGTAATCAGTCATTCAGTTGTGCGATGTTTGATTATGGCAAAATTGCAAAGGAGGGTCATAATTGTTATGATTTTATTCTAGTTTTTGACCAATTTGACTGATTCAATTGAGGAATCGTATAAAATGATAAAAGTTTACCAACCTTACAGACTGCTACTTATGATGTATATAGTATGATTTTTTTTCCATTTTTTTATTAGTACAAATGCATCACTATTTTTTTTCTGTTCAAATATATGCATACAAACCGTAATTATGAATGCATAGAAAATTCAAACACAGGTATTAAATGCAAAAGACAGATGGACACCCATGACATTACCCACAAATTTAACTTTTTTTACATATTTTGGGCCTGTTACAATTGCCGAGTCATTGGAATTCATCTAGTTTGAGTGATTAAGTTGGGATTGTGCGTGTGATTCCGCACATAAACAGTAAGGTAAACGTGTGTGCGTATTTTTTTTCAATCATTTTTTTATTCAGTACATTATATGCATCTGTCTGAATTTTGAGTCAGTGCTCGTGTGGACGGTCCACTATGATCGATCCAACATCTGTCCCTGTATCTTGAAATTTATTTGGAGCCCATGGACTGTCTACCCATTGGGCTGTTGGACATTTACTTAATTATTGTGGAATCAAACCTGTGGTGTTGTATATTCAGCAATTCTGAAACAAGTTTCTGAATTTTGGGCCAAATTTTGATGGCCACTACTCTGTTTGTGGGGCAGAGTTGCCTCCTAATTTTGTGCTGCTTTGGGTGCTTCTGATTTCTGAAGATGGAGTAACTTGTACAGATTCTGTCGTTTATCAAGGACAATTGCAGCAACCCATGAACAATGGTACTTGCAGCAAATTATTGTGGATGGTTCTCTCCATGAGTCTAGGAATTAATCTCCTGATATAAATATGGCTCTTCTTTGTGCCTTCCATATTGCAATCTCTGAGAAGTCAGGATGCAAGCTTGTTGAGCTTTAGCTTTTGATATAGTAGGGTAATATATATTTTTTCCATTTCTATTACTAGAACATAAAAGCTAAAGCTAAAGCTCATTCGATTAAATAAACTGCTTAGTTGAACGGTGCATAATTTTATTTCTTTCTTATACACCGTTCAACTAACCAGTCTAGTTAATCGAATCGTAGAGTTCCAGTTAAAGAGAAAAGAAAGAAAAAAAAACTTGATGTTATATCTATTTTAAAAGATAATTGCTTGAGGTAGGTAGTATTAGAGATTATAAGTAAGAATAAAAATGTTTAGAAATGGTCAGAAATGGTATCGATTTTTTATCATTATTTCGGAAAAATGGATATAAACAATTAGGGAATTTCTATATTTATTATGATTTTAACTATTTATTGTCCACTTCAATACGATGTTAACAGAAATTTTAAAAATGGTACTATATTTATTTTGCGTAAACTGTATCACTGCTATTAAAAAAATTTCATACCATTTCCACCCCGTATCGGAACAAAGGCTGTGTTCGCATGCTTAGGTTGGGAACATAGTGCCTCCGCACAGAAAACGGAGCGGCCCATTAGCGCGTGATTAATTAAGTACTCCCTCCTTTCAAAAATCTAAGTTCTATTTTTTTTTGCACCAAGACTAAAAAGCAATTAATTAGTCACCATGTGACAAAACCAATTAACATGCAACCAATAAGCATTAAAATAGCTTCTTGGATTCCTATCAACAATTTAATTTAGCACATAATGACTATAAATAGGACTTAGACTTTTGAAAAAACCAAAAAATGAAATAGGTCTTACACTTTTGGAAGGAGGGAGTATTAGCTAATTTTTTTCAAAAATGGATTAATTTGATTTTTTAAAGCAACTTTCGTATAGAATTTTTTTTTAAAAAAAACACACATTTTAGGAGTTTGAAAAACATGCGCGTGGAAAACGAGGGGAAGGGGTTGTGATCAAGGGGTTACAAACACAGCCTAAGGAGAATAGGGAGACATAGTTTGATAGGGATAGCAGTGACCAGTGAGCTACATCCCTGGATGCCACGTAGGCAAGGAATGCCCACCTCGAGATCCACACATCCAAGGATAGCCATCCACGTGGCACGTGGGACCCACCATCCGGATATAGCGCGCCACCACGAGTGCCAATGGCAGCCAATGAGATGGCAGCAAGCCTCACCCTATCCACACGCCAACCACACCCACAACATTTTCCCTCCCAAATCCGAATATCCCCAACCCAACTCTCATCACACACAAAACCAATAAACCATCACCACACCGTCCTGGTCGTCGTCTCCAACCAACCAAATTCTTGCACACGCGCAGCTCGAGCCATGGCCGGAGTGAGCACCAGCGTCGTCGGCCTCAAGCCCGCCGCGGCGGTGCCGCAGTCGGCCGCCTCGCCGGTGCCGAAGCGCGTGCACGTCGCTGTGCCGCCCAAGGAGGAGCAGGGCGGTGGCAGGCGCGCCGCGCTGCTGGGTCTCGCCGCCGTGTTCGCCGCCACCGCCGCCGGGCAGGCCAAGGCCGGCGTGTTCGACGAGTACCTCGAGAAGAGCAAGGCCAACAAGGTGAGAATGTGAGGTCGATCGATGATTCGTTAAGTCTCGAGTTATAATTAATTCATGATTTCATTGCTGATCGAGCTCGAGCTAGAGCTGAGCTGACGAGGCGATTGATTAATCGTGTGCAGGAGCTGAACGACAAGAAGAGGCTGGCGACGAGCGGCGCCAACTTCGCGAGGGCGTACACCGTCGAGTTCGGCAGCTGCCAGTTCCCCTACAACTTCACCGGCTGCCAGGACCTCGCCAAGCAGAAGGTCTCATCACTTCATTACTTTCACAAATTCCACTCTCTTCATCCTATCAAAAACCAAACCTCGTTCAGGATGTATCACATCTATACTAGATTGGTTTTTTATGGAACGAACAAGAGTACTGCATGATTTAATCTGAAACCTCTTGTGTTGTTGCGTGCAGAAAGTCCCATTCATCTCAGATGATCTCGAGATCGAGTGCGAGGGGAAGGAGAAGTACAAGTGCGGATCCAACGTCTTCTGGAAATGGTGATGATCTGATGATGATCATCGATCGATTGGCCAGCCATGAAAACATTCCTGTACCTAGAACCTTTGTGATATGACACAACTGCATGCATAATTGAACGCTTGTCGTGCTCACTGTGTATTTGTATCATCTGAGTGGAGATTTGTAGCGAATTTTCTCTCGATTCGTCGATCTCACTTTGATTTCTAATCATGCATCTTATATTGGTTCACCAAGAATAGATTCAATCAATGTGATCCAGACCAACAAGGGAAAGGGAAAAGAACACTTAATTTACTAATTTGAAAGAAGTGAGTATATATCTGACACGTACAAGCACAAAAACTGCAGTTTATGTTCGTTGGAATATAAGACTCACCTTTAAACATGAGATTTTTCTAAAAAAAAATTCCTGGCAAATAAAAGTTAAAGAATTACAGAGAAGTAGAGCCATATGCATCCTTCAGAAATTCAATTAAACTTGGGTGACTCGGGAGGTGACACCCCAAGCCCCCGATCACCTCCCCACCATGTGCGCCAACGATGCTCCCCGGCACTATTGGCGGCTCCTCCTTCCACACTCCACCTCTCTCCGCCAATTTATCCTCTCTTCTTCTCTTTCCCCCCTTCTTATTTCCTTCAGATATGGTAAGCTTAGAATTCCCTCTGCCGCTGACCACCTTCACTGTCGGTGGCGATGCTCCCTGCCAGCGCCGGTTGCACCTCTCCTTCCACCATCGACCTCCCAACAGCCACCCCTCCTCCTCTCTTCTTCCCTTTCCCAATCATGTTTTCCCTTCATCTTCTTGGATTTGAAGAGCTTCTCCCCCCTGGCTTAAGATTTAGTAGCTTCTTTGCTTGGGTCGTCCCTAGACCTGACCGAATCGAGGTTGAAACAATGCCCAACACGTGTGTGCTGACATGGGTGGCATCCACATGGAGATTGCACTAGCCGATGGCCAGTGCCACCAAACTCCAACTGACCTCCCCTTCACTGCTATGTCAAGTGGTAGATGGTTTCCTTCCTCTTCCTCTCTGTTGGTATCCTCCCTCTCCCTCTCTTTCTCTCTTTGTGGCACTCTCCTTGTTCATATTGGAATTAGTCAACCTAGTCTCACCTCTACGACACTGGTTTCACCGCATCACATCTTGTCCTCGTAGTCAATTGCCTCCAATGGAAACAGTTTGCTCTGCCACTAAGGCAAAGCATCGTTCACCATCCATGGATGTGATAAGTGAGGGCTGACTGTTCTTAGAACTGCCAACGGCGGGCTTTGGTGTCAAGTCTTCTTCCATCCACTTTATTTAAGAACAATTAATACTAGTTAGAACAACAAAAAGACATCAACATGTATTTGATAGTTGTGCACCGGGTTTTGAATTCTCTCCACGATGAAAAACTTGGAAAAGTATTTCGTATCAAGTATCTACACACATCACAAATCACAATTCACATGATTTCTCACATGAAGTACGTGCGTGTGAGGTACATAGGATTCAAACATAGGATCAACTATATCTCCACAGCCTCCCATCTCAACTATAATGCTCTTTTTGCCTAAATAGCTTATGCTATTATTTTCGGTCTTCAATGACAAATCTGTAGATCTCATCGATCTCCACAACTTCCATATAGAGTTCATGTTTGTCTGAAGTCGTTGAAAAATTTTAAAATTTCGTTTATCCAAATAGAGCCAACACTTCTAACATATATTCGGGCATATAAATGACTTACAATGAAAATATTGTCAACTAAAAATTAATAGATCGTGTCGCCAATTTTTATGTAGAGTTAGTCTCAATCCAAGGACATTTGGGAATATCAAAAAATTTGTCCGAGTAGATTTGACAACTTGGGCATGTAAACAATCTCAAAAATCAAAAAATCATCAACTACAAAGCTGTAGCTTTGGTTAAACTATATACTTTTACATAATGTTTGTCTTCACCTGACTTATGAAAAAGTTACCATTTTCTTTCAAATTATCATTTGAGTACTAATGACATATAGTTTGATACTCAATGGACATGATAGTCTTGAATATGATCCGATCCATTGAGGTCTGGTCCATTGAATATCGGTGCTGGTTGTTGTTATGAACTAACCGTGATACATTAGTGGAAACTTAAGTATCATAGTAATTTCTTGTTAATTAATTACGAACCATCAGTGATATCAGTGTCATCTCTAAAGGAACCGATAGTGATGAGTCATCTGGTAAAAACACCAACGACTTGGGCTCATTGACGAAATCAGTCGTGTTTGTGTTCTTGCAACTTAGGGCTTGTTTGGTTAGTGACCTGAGCAACATGATTGATAAAAACGTATGTCTGAGAGCTACTTGAGAATTTGGTAAAATATGCTTGACTAGGAAAGCCTGAGTTCAAGATTACACATTGGTAATTAAGATATGTATCAACTTAATAGATACATATTAACGTATTCATTGATTTTATGTATAGCCTTATCCATGACCAAGAAAAAAAGAATTTGTAAGTAGTGTGAAAAAGAGTTGTAGGATACCAGGAATCCAAAAGAATGATTTTTTTTCTTTTTTGCCTTATTCATTCAATTCATTTCAAATAAGATGTACCTTGTTCAAGCCAATAAATAGAGCTAGGGTTAGAGTTAAAGGAGCAAATAGAAAACCAAATTAATTAGTTATAGTAAGCACGAAAGGGTTGAATTCATTTTTTTACTACACTACATATGTTGGTAAAACACTTACCTAAGTTATGGAAGATTCATCATTCATCGATTATCTCTTGTCTATCAGTAACAATGAACACTGATAAACTCGTACTCCTCAATTATAGCAATTAACAAGTATTAATTTAGAGGAAAAAAACTAAGGATTTGAATCAAAATCAAAACAAGCTCATACTTCCGATTTAATCAATATAGATGGGACTATTGCCAAATTTTTTATTCCGACCACAATGTCGCAAGCAACTGCATGCATGGAGTTGACGTGCCTGAAGCTCGGGCCAGCTCCAAAATGGGAAGCCGGACGCAGGCTAAAGGATGCAAGGCAGTGGTTCAAGTCAGGCATCCTGAAAATCCTTTAGGCCTTTGAACCAAACAACACTCAACCATGTGACAGGGAGGGATTAGGCCAGGCTCCTTTTCACCAGGATCATGAACCAAACAGCCCCTTAAACATTGAGTGATTTCCTAACGACAATTTAACACTATAATCACCATCGCTCTGGTCACTCTTTTATCCTTGTCTATCTCTTGATTTCTCTCAAATAAAAGTACAAAACAAAACCAACTGTGGTAGGGCTTCGGTGACTAATTTTCCAATTGGGCGAGTATCAGTTATGTTTTATTCAAGCAACATATTCTATGTCATTTGGATATATGTACCATTGTTGTTGAGCGAAACACTTGTCACGTGATACATCCACGCACACAACTGAATATGACACAGAGAAATAAGCACTAGGTCACTCGCTTATTAGCCATCTCATTAGCTTAAACTCTCATGAAAAAGACTTCGTACAGTTCTGTTAACGACCAAATTTGGTATGTTTTTTTGCATCGACAAGTTCTCTTACAAAGACTTGATGAACAAAAGAATTAAGCGTCTTTTAATTAGTTAGTATTGTGTTTTTTAGTTGCGCCCATATTGAACTTGTGTCACATATATTTTATGCTTCTACAAAGCTGAACTTGCATCAGGTACATATGTTAAGTCCTGAAGATTATGCAAAACCATAAGTGGGCGAGAGACCTGAGACTTCAGATGCAACTTCACGCACTGTAATCTCCCTTAGGCTCAGCTCACAGGAAGTGCCTTCACACATTATACTCTCTCGGGTGCTAATCTCGCATCTTGGTGGCACGAGCAACCTAGCCAGAGCACTAACTATGACTGCATGCAATCTCATCCATCTTATTTTTTCCAGTAATGGGCCAGGATCAAATTATTCAGGTAATTGAAGAACAATGGTTGTTCTGTAGTGGAATGTGTATCAACATGCTCATAATTCCAAGAAAGATAGTCAATTATGTCTTTCAATGTATTGCAGTGTTGTTCTGACCTTGCTACCTACAACAAGGTTGTGGTACTCAATATATATCTCAGTCTACAATGTGGCTTGTTAGTGTTATTGCCTCATGCCATTATGCATATTGTCCAATGCTTTTTCTATATTCATGTATCAAGCATTGTTGTTCACCCAAATGTGGAGGACGAGGCTACTCAATCTTACCACCAAAGCCATACACTTCATTGCTTTGTCTACCTCAAGTTGCCTCACTCATCGGTATGTACTGAACAGCCCAATTATCATGCTTCTTGTACTTTCCGCCCACACCGCAAGTACACAACAAACACATCCTGCCAAAGGCCATGTCCTATTTTCCCCTTTTTCTAGCACTTGTGAGCCAATCGACGAAGGGGATGACCTTTATCACTAAGCCAGTTTGACATGGCCAAGCGGCGGCCGAGAGATGGATTATGTTGCCTACTTTGCCAAGTGAAAAAGACAATAATCGCCATCTTTGGTCAATGGTTCAATCACATACTTTTTTGTAGTAATTGTGTGCTTTTTCTTTTTTGAAATTTAGTTCATTCCTATGAAATAGGGAAAAGAATATTTCCAAATAGAAAAATAAAAAAGGTGTTACATGTCTTAGTATATATATAGGTCTTTACCTCGTCTCAGTCGCACCTAATTCTTAGCTAGGGGCCCATCCTTATAGGTCAGTGGTGCAATTTTGGACATTTGTCGCCTATTTTTAGGGCTAATAAGGAAAGAAACACCAAAAAAACTTATTTTGGCCTATATTGAGATGGCTATGACAACCGGATTTCAAAACAAAAGAAAAAAAATTAAGATGCATGCACATGGACCAAAATTGGAGTAACTTTGTTTAAGCAAGTCGTTACTAACGAACGAATCTTTCGACCTATCAAGATGAGATAGCTACAACAAGCCTTTCCAAAGAAACAAAAGAAAGACACCCATGTGGATCCAGTCTGAAATAACTTCACTAGAGCATGTCATCACTATTTATTGTATGTAGGAACAATAACTCCGTTGCCGCCCCTCCCCCCCCCCCCCCGGCACGCGAGCACTGAATTTTGCACATAGTAACTAATTGAAATCAGTAATCCTCCTGCTGCATTTTCTTTCTTATAAATATGTCTTATTAGTTGTAACTAGTAGAGTCAAATGAATACTACCAATGATTTAGGAGACTTCCTCGAGGGACTAAAATATTGGA